AACAAAACAACAATAAACCACTGACAAAAACAAAACAAAACACAACAAGAAAGAAAAGCTTGTAGTTCATTCAAGGATTGTTTGTTGGCCTTTAGGAGTGTTTTCCAGTCCAGTCTGTTGGGGCACCAAGCCCTGGCCCCAAAGTCCATCTTTGACATTCCCTCACTGCTCCATTCCCTTGCTGTTCTGTTGCACCCCCTTAGTGTTTTGTCTCGGTGTAGCGGGATCAGATCGGGTACAATTCTCACACTGTGCCTCCGGTGTTGTCCCCTGTAGGGCTATGGGTCAGTGAGGGACATCGTGTCTCAGAGTGGGGCCGACCATGTAGTCCTCTCTGTGGACTGGCTGTTTTGAGCGGGAACATCATCCTCAAGGCCTGGTGGGCCAGGATGTGCTCCACTCTCTCCTCCTCTCCCTTAATCTGCTCCCGTCAGATATGTCCTTCTCCCAGAGCTGCAGATTCATTGCTGTTTTCTGAAATAAATTCTTCTGGGGGGAAGGGCAGGTGTCCACGTTGTTGTGATTGGGGCCACCCCCTCAGACCTCTCCACTGGTTGCCTACTCCATGCCATGCCAAGGTATTTTCAATCACCCCATATGAATATCAAGGTGGACCCTGAATAAGACTGAAGAAGAATCAATACATTTTAAATATGGTGATGGTGAAGATTATTGAAAGGACAAGGCACTACCAAAAGAACAAACACATCTTGGGGAAAAAAAATACACCCAGAATGCTCATTATAGGAAAGGATGGTAAAACCGTCTCACATGTTTTGGACATGTTACCAGGAGAGACTGGTCCCTGGAAAAGGACTTCATTCTGGATAAAGTAGAGGGTCAGCAAAAAGAGCAAGACCCTGGACAAGATGGATTGACAAGATGTCTAAACCAATGGGCCCAAACATAAGAGCAATTGAGGATGGTGCTGGATCTGGCGAGTGTTTCCTTCTGTTGTACACACGGTCACATTGTGTTGGAACCTACTGGATGGCACCCAGCAACAAACAGTTGATGGGCTTGAACATAAGTTCCCAAACTTATTTGGCTTATCACTTCCTTTTCAGGAAAAAAAAAATAGTTGTCAGGTCAAACCTGACCATTAAAAGCTACACTTATCCAGGATATTGTTGAGGTATCTGCTGGGGCCAATATCACCCACTCTGGTAACCCATGGTGTAGAATGTCACAGTATTGTTTCTCAGGGTTTCAAGAGTCCTTATGAAACTTCATATTTCAGTAGGTAACCATTGAATGATCTGTGATTCTGAAAAGAGAAAGGAATCCTAATTCCAGGCTTATTAACTACTTCCTATATCTCCTTCCTTTTCTATTTGTTTTGATTTCTGTTTTTGGTAACTCAGCCCTTTCATGGCATATGCATCTTATTAGTAATTTTCTGTCGTTTCCAAGAATTTAGGATCAAAGGGAAGGAAGAAGAGATAAGTGTAAAACATGTGGCTCTGTGTGCCTCTGAGCCGTCCCATGTGGGGTCTGGGAGGTCCTCCGAGACATAACCACATTGTGTTCCAGCACACTCTCATTCACAGACATGGGGATGTCTGGAAGGTGCCAGTCTGCCATGCGGAGGTGTTAGGGGATTATTAATTGCCTTATGCATTTAAATTCATCGACAAGCAGGTCTAAATTTAGCCTAGTACATTACTTTCAACACTTTGCATTTATACCAGGGGAATAGTGGAAGATAAAATTCTTTTTATCTTAATACTTAGGGGAGATTTTTCTTTTTCTCTTTTTGGCATCGAATGTGTTGCAATTTCTTCATGTATCTATTTTTAAAAAGTTGAAGATTCTTTGTATCTCTTATTATTTAATAAAATAGTAGTAACTTTGCAATTTGAAATGACCAAATTATGAAGATTTTCAAAGAGAGCTGTGTGGAGTTTTGCTTATATCATGATACTTTTTAACTCATTTGATGTTCATCATAAGATTTCTTTTTGTAATTTAGTTGGAGGAGAATTTGTTTTATCTCATCATTCCTCCACTTTCTTCTAGATTTTTTAATACCATCTTCAATATTATCTTAAATCATCATGGGTCAGAGATAGAAATATGATGACATACTGTGTGAGAATGAATTGGGTGGAAAACGGAGATTCTTGAAGCCCTTTTTTGCATTCGTCAGTGCTAGATTCTTGTTATTCAGCACATGCTTTGTGACTGGTTGATTTTCCAACGATACTGAACTACTGGTGGCATAGGGATACTATAGTTGATAATCTTGCATCCTCCTTTGTCTCAGCTCCCCTAATGCCCCTCCCAATAATTTTCAATATCTTTTATGATATTGCCAGGATGGTTGTTGTAGAGGACAGTGTGATTTCTTTCTGCACCTCCTAAATTCAGAATGGACAAGTGAAAAAGAATAAAACAAGTGTATTCTAGTCATCACCTTGATTCAGGCATGAGACGTGATTTAATGTGAGTCTACCCCATGGAGGTGGGCCTGGATGCTGCCAGATTGCAGAAGCCCGGGGGCCGCCTTTTCCATTAAGTGCATCCGGCCTTTAGATTTTGACAGGCTTTGCACTGCCGAGTAAAGACCAAAAGAGTTAGGCCTTATGTAATTTAATATTCCTGCTAAGAATGGCTTAAACTAAATATGTAAGTGAGTATCATTTAAAAATGGGCTTAAGTTAAAAAGCCCTCTTTCATTTCATCTGTGATTATGGGAACGCTTTTAGCAAGGTGATGATCTTTGATCCAAGTCATGAATAATATCATCGTGTGATCCATTACAAGCAATAGATCAAAGTTTCAATGCCTATAGGGACAAGCAGCAGTCAGAGAATCAAATGACACACTACATTTGGAAAATCTGCTGCATAAGATCTCTTTAAGGTGTTGACAAGCAACACCTTAGTCACTCTGATGACTAAGATGCAGCCCGGTCATAATATTTTCAATACCTTCTTATGCAAATTGAAACTGGGCAATGGAATGGAAAGACTGGAAAATGGAATGACTGTGTTGGCAAAAAATATTGACTATACCATGGACGTCCAGAAGAATAGAAGCTATAGTGATGTTATGGGTTAGGCATTGGACTACTAACTGCAAGGTCAGCAGTTCAAACCTCCCAGCTGCTCCTTGAGAGAAAGAGGAGACTCTCCATAGGGTTGCTGTGAATTGGAATTGACCTTATGTTAGTGTTTTTAGTTTGGTTTGGGCCAGAGGCATGAATGAATCTGTTTTGGAAGAAGTACAACCAGAATTCGCCTTAGGAGTGAGGATAGCCAGACTTTCTCTCTTGGACTTTGGACATGTTATCAGGCTAGACAATGCCCTGGTGAAGGGCCTGGTGCTTGGTAAAGTGGAGCGTGAGGAAAATGAGCAAGTTCCTCAATGCAATGGATTGACACAGTGACTGCAGCAATCGACTGAAACATCCGTCCTATTGTGAGGATGACGCAGGACCAGCACCGTTTTGTTCACTAACACGTGGAACCTGCTCAAGAGCACCTAACGGCAACAGAGCCTCGGACTGCGGGGATGACAGTGCTGGTAACACTGGCAGAATGGATCTGTAGTAATCTAGCATCTTGGCCCAACAAAGTTTACACCAATTATAATTTTAATTCTAAATGAAACTAGATTTTCAAAAGTGATGAATATTATGCAAGATGATTCAGCCACTTAAAGTCCTCTTTGCCAGAATTAAGGGAAACTTTTTAGTGTTATGAAGTCATTCTTGCCAGTTCAGAAATTCTCAGAATTAAAAAAAATAAAAAAATAATTGTCCATGCCTTAGGGAATATTCTCTTAGATTTTTCTGTGGGCTTTCTTGTTGAACAGAGGACCATAGAGAGCTACGTGGATAAGCGTATGGGCACAACATATGGCCCTCCTGCAGGAAAGAAGATGACAATTTTTATTGATGATGTGAACATGCCGATAATCAACGAGTGGGGAGATCAGGTACATTGGTTTTGTTAAGTCCTTTATCTATTTAATTCAGCGTTGGTTTACTCCTTGGCTAGTGCTTTGGATGGAATTATGTAAAATGAGTATTGGAATGTTTACCCTTAGTCTTGTGAATGTCTTTGTATTTAGAAATAGAGTTGTGTCCACTCACCATTACCACGGAGTTGATTCTGGCTTGAAGCCATCGTAGTATGAGATGTGTCCTAAACCGAATCCGAAACCTAAACCTAAACCTAAACCGAATCACTCCTAGTAACAGAAAGAGCAGAACAGATAATGAATCACGTAATGGGGAAGACAGATGCTATCAAGGGATCTACCTTTACAAAAGGGATCCACATGGCATAGACCCTGGGGTGGACTCTTAGCCTTCAGAACGGTGAGCGAAGAAGTTATGTTCTTCAAAGCTACCCACTTGTGGTATTTCTGGTAAGATAGCGTTGAGACAGTGAGTACAGGTTTTCCTGTTTTTTCTATATCCAAGTTCCCAAATTCTGTGGTTGTGCAATGGCTTAGGTGGAGGCGGTGGTATGAGGAATGGCATTTTCATGCTGAGAGATGTTTTTCTTAGGTTACGAATGAGATAGTTCGACAGCTGATGGAACAAAGTGGATTTTATAACCTCGAGAAGCCTGGGGAGTTTACCAGCATTGTGGACATCCAATTTTTGGCTGCAATGATCCATCCTGGGGGTGGACGTAATGACATACCCCAAAGACTCAAAAGGCAGTTCTCTGTATTTAACTGCACACTACCGTCTGATGCTTCCATGGACAAAATCTTTGGTAAGTTAAGTGTGGAGTGAGTGGACAGGGGGGAGTAGGGAGGGAAAAACATCTTTCGTGGGTTCCTATAAGATAATGAGAGCCTCCTCACCTGTCAGGGGTAACACGGCAGGAAATTTGGCCATGTGGAAGGAACATAGTTTGTAGCCCTTCTGATTACAATCACAAACAATATTGGTGGTAACCACATCCCTATCACACTGCATATGTTGCATGCATGCAAGTTGCATGTTTCATGTAAGGATATAAAATATATATGCACTGAATTGGACGCCTAGGTACAACTTTTCTGCCTACATTAATTTTTTTATCCTTTATATGACAATTTCCAACTTCTTCAGCAAGGAGATTAAACATCAACTTCAAAATGAGGTTGTCTTCTCAGGCGTACAGTTACTTAAGTTGTAGAATGATATAGCACTGTGTCAAATGCCCATGTAGCTGATATTTAAGGAACCTGTGTAATTATTGTGGCCATAGTAGTAATAGAACACAGGGCAAAGATTAACCTCAGTCTGATCTTCAGAGTCATTTACAGGGTATAATACACTATTGATTGATTGAATATGTCACAGTCTAGAAGCAATCTTATTGAAATATGATCAGACCAATAGAGAAAGCTATTTACTTAACAGAGTCATGTAAATGCATGTAAAACTGATTATGGGATTACCCATTTCATTGAACAATGTAAAATTTTTGTATACATGTGTAGCAGGTATTAATTTAGCATGTTCTGTAACTGTTGTCAAGAAAAAAAACTTTATTAAAATTACCCTAATTATTTTCTAGCGGGCTGAAATGTCATCTTAGCACCCTAGGCTAGTGGAGCATGGAAGTCTCAGCCTTCAATCAAGGGAGTGGGGAATGTTTGGAAATCAAGCGACATTTGAGAAAAATCAAACTCAAGGAAAAGTAAAGTGGGCCAGAAAGAATGGCTGATGGTTATTGATTTTAATTTTTCACTGCTTGAAGATTTTTACTCACAAAATTAATTAAAATCTTGCATAAGGCATGGAGAGGCAATAATAGAAAAGTAAAACCAAAGTTGCTACCGTGGAGTTGATTCCCACTCATAGACATCCAATCGGACAGAGTAGAACTGCACCTGTGAGCTTCTGAGAGCGTTAATCCTTACAGGAGTAGAAAACCTCATCTCTCTCTCACAGAGCAGCTAGTGGTTTAGAACTCCTGACCTTGCAGTTACCAGCACAACATGCAGCCAGCCTTCTGTGCCACCAGGGCTGCTTACATAGAGAAGAAATCTTAGAAGAGTCAAGGAACTTCCTTTTGTCTTACTCATTTTCAAGGTGGTGCTACATGCCTGAGACCTTAATAATATGATTCATAATATTGAATTTGATCAGGTGGAGTTTTCCAGAGACCCTGGATTGTGCAAAGAGGTGAATGGTCGACTACTAATTGAGGGGTTGATAGTTTGAGTCCACTGGGTAGCTTCTTAGAAGACAGACTTTTATGGAACAACCCTACTCTACACCCAAGGCAGCGCCATGAATCAGACTCCACTTGACTGCCATCACCTCCAGCATCATGGACTGGAATGCAGTTTGAATGTTGACTTTCTTGGAACTTATATCTATCTTTTTTTGGCATTAGAATAAGTATCAAAACCAAAAAGTCCAAGTGCACAGCTGTCAAGTTGATTCCGACTCGCAAAGACGTGATAGAACAGAATAGAACTGCCCGTGGGGTCCCTAAGCCTGTAATCCTAACAGAAGCCATTGCTACATCTTCCTCCTTCAATGCTGCTCCTGGATCCACACGGCCGACCTTTCATTTGTCACTTGTCAGGTGCTTTAGCCATGGAACCGCAGAGGCTCCTTTCTGAACAAGAAATTGTTCAACACATCAATTAATAGGAATGGAATTAGTGTGTCTTGATTTGTGAAGCTGTCCAGTTGTATTTGTGTCAAGTCTGCAGTGTTCGCATTCTGTTTCCCCGTCAGGTGTCATCGGAGTCGGCTACTACTGCACCCAAAGGGGCTTCTCCGAAGTGGTGAGGGTCTCCGTGGCCAAACTGGTGCCACTCACACGTCGACTGTGGCAGATGACCAAAATGAAAATGCTCCCGACTCCTGCAAAATTCCATTATGTATTTAACCTTCGAGATCTTTCCAGGATCTGGCAGGGAATGCTGAACGCGACTGCGGAGGTTATCAAGGAGCCAGATGTACGTGCTACACAGGAGTGAAACTCTCATTACCCTCGAGTCAATTCCTGCTCATAACAACCCTACTGCACATCAAACCATAAAACCCTGCAGGTTTTCAAGGCAGTCAGTCTTTACAGAAGCACACTGCCTCATGTTTCTCCCAGAAAGAGAAACAGACAACCTTTTTATTTATCACACACCTTAAATAATTTTAGGA